ATGTGGACAGAAAATGCATTGGAAGTCGCATAGGCATATAGACAGATACACCAAGGATCTTGTGAAGCAGGTCAGGGATAATAATGTTGGCCTTGGGAAGGTTTTCAGAATTGTTGGTAGTTTTTTTGGTTCCACGAAGAATGTGCCTTTTACAAAAAGGTCACTGAAGACATTGTGCAAAAAGCTCAACAAAGAACAGACAGACTTTGATGCCATCAAAACAATGAACCTGCTGGGAGAGATGAAAGCAAATGATCCAGACTTCAACTACACCGTGCAAGTCGACGAGGAGAGCCGCATAAAGACACTAATGTGGGTGACAAGTAGAGGGTGCGATCAGTACATGTATTTTGGAGATGCGATAACATTTGACACCACATACATGACAAACTTGTATGATATTCCCTTTGGTCTGTTTGTCGACGCCAACAACCACTTCCAGAGCATAATTTTGGGGGGTGCCATGATGAGAGACGAGAAAGAGGAAACATTCAAATGGATCTTCAAGGAGTTTGTCCGTATGGTTGGTGGGAAAAACCCGCAGACAATACTCATAGGTGGGTGTGCCGAAATCAGGGGATGGGGGTTCGTATCGACATTATGTATGTCGCGATTTACATGTACAGTTCTCATGTTCTCATACTTTTCCCATTTGCCTTTGTTGTGATGCAATTGCAGACCAGGCACGCTCCATGGAGCTGGCAATTGAAGCAGAGCTGTCAAATACCCTGCACCGTTGGTGCAAATGGCACGTTTTGAAAAAGGCAAAAGAGTCCATGGGTGTCCTTTGGATCAAGAACAACGACTTCAAGCTGGAGTTCCACAAGATTGTGCATCACATGATCATAGAAGAAGAGTTTGAGGAGGGCTGGAGGCAGATGTTGGAGAAGTACTATTTGAAGAAACATCCTTTTTTGACGCAGATATACGAGGTCACGCATAAATGGGCAAAGCCATATTTCCGAGGGGTCTTCTATGCTAGGATGACAAGCACTCGATGGAGCGAGAGCGCCAACCATTTGTTGAAAGGTTATGTGCCACCAGGGTGCCCGATGCATCTGTTTCTGAAGCAGTTTGAGAAATTGCAATTTGATAAAGAGGCGGAAGAGAGCTTTCGAGAGAAGAGGACATCCCTGGTGAGTGCATTGCAATTTCTTTTTTCATATCATTCTCCTGGGGTGCTTTCATTGTTTCTGCACCATGATAATCCCCTCCGTCTTGTGTTTCTTATCGCAGAGCGGTGTCTGTCTTAGGGTCAATCTTCCAATTGAGAAGCATGCTAGCAAAGTATACTCCAGAGCTATGTTTGAAAAGTTTGGCGAAGAATTGTATAAGTGTGGGGCACATGTGTTGGACGAGGTCGTGCCTAGAAGGATTTATAAGTCGACCCATGTAGAAGCGGCGAACAAGGAGAAATGGAGCAAAGTAGAATTCAAGATAGAAGTGAATGAATACGAGAGTTTTTTCAGTCGCGAGTGCGGATACTTTGAACATGCTGGGCTAGTGTGCTACCATGCATTGCAGGTGAGCTCGATTTTGCACCATCCCCAGTTTAATTATGCTCCGGTGCCATGTTTGCTACCCTAGATGTGAGTCTTACAGAAATGATTTGTTCCCCCTTGTAACAGTGATGGTTCATTTCCGATTGCAAAAATACCCCAGAAGCATATACTTAAAAGATGGACGAGAGAGGCATGTGACATTCTTCCTGAACATTTTGTTAGGTATCAAAGAGACCGAGGACCTCTAGCTAGTGATACATTCAGGCATCACACCATGTACATGAAAGCATTGGAGTGTGTCATGCTAGGAGACATCAATGTTAAGTGCTATGATGTTTTCATGGCTATGATGAAGGAGGTGCATGCGACTCTGCTTCTGCTTAGCATTG